CTGTTCTATGCACTCGGATCTAATTGTCTTCCGTTAATTCATAGGTACATATATTATTCATGAATGATGGCTGACAAAAATGAGTATTCGGTTGCTTTCTTTCTTTTTAAAACTTGATGCCTTTATGGGGTTTTTTTCATGGGCCAAGTGGTGTGATTTAATACCATAATACCGTAACCCAGTGACCGATATGTTCTTCATGCTTATTCTTATTCATTTATTCACTGTATTCATTTTTTAAAGAAATTTATGCAAATCTGCATCCCACTGTCTACCAGGTATTGTCACTGTCATTGACCTGGACTCTTTCCGATACAGTGGACTCCGCTTACACCTAAAGTAGCAGTAACCCGAAAGAAAATAAAATCCCTCTTTTTTTTGTCCTTCTGTTTGAGCAACCTCTCTAAACTTAAAATCCGGCTAATCCGAAGAAACTCAGACGGTCCCTCAGATTTTGGTTTAAGGCGGACTCCTCTCTATATGTTGTCATGCCGTGTGCCTTTCTCCCAGGTCGACCAATGGTTCACCAATGAGCTTCTCTTTTTTTGAAAAGAGTATTGGAGGGAATGCTATATTCAGATTCTTTCTGGGGCTGGGAGTTTATGAAGAACCTACACATGTCGATAGTTGACGGGTGCTCTGATGTGGTTTGCTCCTTCTTTCCTATTAAACATTTATCGTCCTTATCTCACCTCCTTTTTTGGTGTCTGTTTCTCTCTTGTAACACCTATAATCTTGGGGGCATATTTGAACATATTGTGTTGCAAGCGGCGTAAAGCTCTTATTAAGAATAAAAAACAACCAACACACAATGTTTTGTGTATGACGTGAATATGAAACCCGATCTTTCCACATACATTCATTTTAAAATTGCCCCTTATTCAATTTGTATGTAATGCTCCAGATACACTCCTGTGCATGCACACTTCAGATATATGCGAACACACACTTGCACACTCTCATGCACAAATATATGTGCGCTTATAAAATTTATGAACACACACACACACACACACTCTCTCTCTCTCTCTCTCTCTCTCTCTCTCACATATGTACTCTGTTGGTGCTCTCAACGCCCGATGTAGATAATTTCAGCATATGATTTTTTTGTCTGTTTCCATCTCAGGTCTGGCTGACGAGGTTTCCAGTCTACTCGTGAAGGAAAAAACAAGATAGCTCACCTCAACACAGTACTAGTACAGTCTGAAATGTCCATGACGGCCATCCTATATCGAGGAGAGCAGTTGTCGTCTAAGGCAGGTGGATGTCTTGGACAGTGTCACTATAATATATAAAAAAAATAATATGTCAAGGAGGAAGTGGGCAGTGGTCTTTTGTACAAGTGATTGTGTTGGTCAGGTGGTCATTAGAATTAGAGAAAGATTAACTGTACTTTGGCAACACTATGGCTGGTTCCTTTCGTTGTGTGTTTATTTCACCGATGAAGCTGAACTGTTATGAACTAATTCACTACGTAATTTTCTACCCTTCTGGACGTAATTTTTTTTGGACGACAGGTACTTATTTAATACATACATACATACGCTTAGTTTTGCCCTCTGATTTGCTAAGTATAGATATCAAATGAGAGCACGGCCTGTGCTCTTTCTCTCTCACTCACACTGGTATTAAACGTGCATATACAGATATACAGGGCATGTAAGAAAAATAAGGGTAAAAATAGTAAGAAAAATGTATATTGTCCAGATCTGGCACATTAGTTTGGTGTTTCACTACACACATACACACACACACACACACACA